TCTTACTTGTTTTTTTTTTTTTTAAATATCAACACATCTTAATTAAAGTTGAAATGACACTCGTCATACTTTGATTTAAATTATGCAAAGATAAAAAAAAGAGTGATAAAATAGCTTTTCAATGATACATTACGAGTCTAACTCGGTGAAGTTTTGACTTAGTTATTTAAGTTTTTCTTAAACGAATCTCTGAAAAAGAACTCAAAAAACAGCGTCTAATATCTCATTATTAGGATTCTATTGAATTTTTTTGTAAGTTTAATGCATATTTTTTAAGTTAAAACTGTTTTGCCATCTGAGGTGATTTTTTTTTTTTTTAAATACTTTAAAAACTATTTTTATTCATAAAAAAACCAAGGAGGTATTTTCAAATCGGTCCAGCTCACGTAAATCTTAATATTTTTCCGAAATGTTTTGGTGCAATTCTTAAAATATAATAGATTTTATAATTCCAATGGAAAAACAGTAGTAGAGTGATGCAATCTAATGCACATATGTATTCTAGTATACTTACATACATACGATTCTGTTTCTCCAAAGCCTCTGAGATTGAGGAAATATATTGCTTTTAAAAAACAAATTGTACTTCGGAAAGATTTTATTCTTTCACGTCGGCTTCTAACCACTTATTTCTAAAAAAGAGAAAACTTGGAAAATTTCACTCCGGAATCCTCCCACAAAATTATAAGATTCCTACAGCTTTCAATTCATTTTATTTTATATTATTACAACCACTGATTTTTCGTTTAAAAATCTGTTGTTTGAAATTTTTTCAAAGACAGTTGAAAAACCATTTTTTTTTTTTGTAGCTGGCAGTTTGATTTTGATAGAGATGCCATAATGCCAGCAAAGGACAAATGGCTAACATGGCGCCAAAATCATTGAGTGAAACTATCTTCTTTTTTGTATCATGATGAAAATGTCCATCAAATACTCCCATCACGTTTTTAAGGCCAATGTGCAAAAAATTATGAAAACAAATGTATGTATACCTGTGATTTTGTATCTTCTTTCAACTTATGTCCTTATTTAATGGTCTCTTTTTAACCAATTTGCAAATGTGTTAGTAAGATAAATGAGAATGTGTTAGTTTCCATGACCCAATTCTTGTAGGGCCGTCATCATGCGTATTAAAGCGCAGTTACCCACAGACGTAAAAACGTAGAACGTATCAGCTGAGACCATCTATCTTATGGCATCTGCGTGTTAACAAAAACTCACCACCGCATGCCCGTGACATAGACATTGCATCTCTCTCCTTCTATCAACAGCAAACTTGATATGTTTCAACGTACTTCTACGCTACGCTACGTACATGTTCGTGGGTAATCGCGCTCTTAACCTAAAATTTCATATTTGGTATAAATAAGGGTACAAACGGTAAGAGCAGGATGCAGATTTTGAACTCCAGTGATCTTACTCAAATCATTGAACAGCTTTACTTTATCAGACCCTTGTTGCAAAAAAACTTTGCTGTAGTATTAATTAAAACGCTAAGGCCCCTATTATGAGTTGCATTCGATTTTCGATCTTCGCTGGCTATAGAAGATCGAAAGTGAAATTCGTATTATGAGCTATGCAAGCGTATCGAAATTTTCGTTGAGTATCGAATTTTCTGTCGAACAGAATTTTGCTTTCGTTGGTGTAGCGGAGTGTTAAAAAATTTTAAAAATGTATGATTTTGCATTTATTTTCTTACTTTTTGGCGGCTAGACACTAATTTTAAACAATTTGTATTCAAGCAGTTCTAACGTCGTGAATAGTAAACAAAAGCGCAAAAGTCTGGTTTTACATATGAAAGAAAATCCCTATACGCTATTGGCA